TCTCTCACTCTGGTGTCCCTCTCTCTGGTGTCCCTCTCTGGTCTCTCCCCCTCTGGTCTCCCTCTCTTGTCTCCCTCTCTTGTCTCCCCCTCTGGTCTCCCTCTCTGGTCTCCCTCTCTGGTCTCCCTCTCTGGTCTCCCTCTCTGGTGTCCCTCTCTCTGGTGTCCCTCTCTCTGGTGTCCCTCTCTCTGGTGTCCCTCTCTCTGATCTCCCTCTGGTCTCTCTCTATCTCTGGTCCACTCTTTTTCACTTTTTAATCAGAAACTGAGTTAAAATCTGACAAAGACCAAAAACGTTTCCATGCATGTGAAAACTAGTAACTGTTGACCACTGTACAGCAGTTGAATGGTTTTTTGTGGTTTTAAAGTTAAGTACCTCAGCTTTAATCAAGGTATAACTCACATGGATACAGTACCATGCACCAATACAAAACTATAGCTTTCTCTCGCTCCACACACCTTTCCAAACTCCACTTTTCGTCCTGTTCTCTCGCTTCTGCCAAAGTCATGAGCCGCAGTTGACGTCATCCCTGGCCCCTTTGCTGACCTCATCACTATGCGCCCCTCCCTCTTTGCTGACCTCATCACTGTGCGCCCCTCCCCACGAGGTCCAGCTGCACCGTCATCTACACGGCACATGCAGAGTGTGGGAACTTCTGAGTCACCGCTCCAGCACAAAAGATCTGCTTACATAATCACTCCGGGTCAAAGAGCACACATTAACAGCTTCTTTTAACCACGGTGTGGAGAAAAGGTCTAAACATGAGACCAACATGTAGTTATACTTGACTAATCCAAAACTTGAACCATTTTGGACGAGTTGAGTGGAAAACAGTCTTATTCTGCTAAACACATGTATTTTAGATAATAACTACAGTATATACTTGAGCAAAACGCCTTCACAGATTTGGGCACTACTTTACTTTAGAGTTTTGATCTTGCATTCATTTTTATAGCTGTTCATATTGTGATTTAATGCTTCACATACTCTGACTGGCAATGTCTCCATGACCTTATCAATGTAACCAACAGGAAATGCCTTTAAGTCACTGGGGGGCCATATGACAAGTTGAGTGTGGGTCCTCTTATCTTAGGACGTGACAGAGCCCGAATGATATGCACAATGAAATTGACAGGATTTTCATAATATAGATACATTTTGTGTGGTTTGAAAGTTAGGTATTACAGCTTTAATGACCTTTTGTACTACCAGATTACCATGACCCGCAATACATCTCAGTGGATATGATTTACAAAGCCTGAAGGATAATGTAGATAAGTGCTGTAGGAGCCGAAACACAGAAATACTAGAATATTTCTATTTTGTGTATCATTATTTCTATGAATATATATATAATATAATGTATTTTTTTTGGTAATTTTCCACAGGATTCTGGCGCCAGGCACTTAAGACACAGGTGCATCATGGGACAGTTTGGAGTGTGGAGTGGAGCCAAATAGTTGTTTGACCTTGCTCCTGGACTGATTCATGTTTTATTTTCTTATTCCTGCTAAACTCACAAGTGCATTGGATTGGTTGTTCTTCAATTTAACTTTCTGGAAGACTCTGAACATAAAAAAATCCTATAATTTGATGAATAATAAAGTCATTTAAATATCGGTTGGATTACACATATTGAAATGATAATGCTTTCTTATTAAACTACTGTATGTCATGTTTCTGATATCTAGGTCGCTCTCTCCCAGGCCCTGGTCTCCATTGGGCTCTCTCCCAGGCCCTGGTCTCCCATGGGCTCTCTCCCAGGCCCTGGTCTCCCATGGGCTCTCTCCCAGGCCGGCCCTGGTCTCCCATGGGCTCTGTCCCAGGCCCTGGACTCCCATGGGCTCTCCGGACCGCGTCATTTGGTCACTGTGTGCGTCTTTCCAAGTATCCGTTACAAGTCGAGGCCAATCAACTGTATCACTGGTTTCACCCAGATCACACCAGCTCAACTTTAATATTATCCACACCCGACACTGAAGGAGGCAGGGGTCTTCTGCCAATGGTCACCGCGCCCCCCACATTATGCAAGCGTCCACAACACAAGGCGACAGTAGCTCAGTTGGTAGAGCATTGGCCTTAAGGCCAGAAGGTCGTGGGTTCAAGTCCCACCTCTGCACCTTCTCCATCGACTCCCACTGATGACTGCTGTCGTTGTGTCCTTGGGCAAGACACTTAACTCCACTTTGCCCAAAAGCCCCCACTGAAAGATCAAGGCTATGCTCACACTCAGAGAGCAGCCGTCCTCCTGTGGACTCACCACCTGCAGAGGGTCAGTGAGGGGCTGGTGCTATGAGACTTGGGTGGCATCTCTGATTGCCACCCCCCTGACCCAGAAATAGATTAAAGGGTAGAAAATGGATGGATGGATGGATGATAGAAATTATGATCTAGAAATAAATCTATATTGAGCCAGTGTGAGCTTGAAATGCCTGTAAATGTAAAAGGGAACTCTTCTGGTTCAGGAGCCGTTTGTGTCACACTCACCATTTTGAGCTTGAAAATAAGTGTTATCTTCAGATCGCACCAGCTCAACTTTAAATACAGCCTCACCCGAAATGACTGAAGGACACGGGGAGGCATGAAATTAACTGAAAGACCAAGTGTGACCCAAGTGATATGGGCAATTTCTGACATCATCAATGACTTAAGTTTGATTAAGTTCTATTGTATCTATTGGAAAGTGTGCCGTCTGCATTTGACCCATCCTCCAGCACCCCAAAACCCACGGTAAAATGAGTTCTGTTGAAAAGATTGAAGTTCCATTCAAGTTAGAGGAAATACTAGTCGTAACATGTCCAGTCCTATTTTCGATTCATCTATTAAAAGTATTTGTGCATCGCCCTAAATCACAACAACAGTCGTCTTAGAGGACTTTAGAAAGTTGGCGATTCATCAACAATAGAGACCAGAGAGAGACCAAAGAGAGAGACAGAAAGAGACCTGAGAGAGAGAGAGACCATATAGAGACAGAGAGAGACTTGAGAGAGACAATAGAGAGAATATAAAGAGACTGAAAGAGACCTGAGAGAGAGAGAGACCATAAAGAGACAGAGAGAGACCAGAGAGACCTGAGAGAGACCATAAAGAGACAGAGAGACATGAGAAAGACCAGAGAGAGACAGAGAGACCTATGAGAGACCAGAGAGAGACAGAGACCTAAGAGAGACCAGGGAGAGAGAAAGACCTGAGAAAGACCAGAGAGAGTGAGACCTGGAAGCGAGAGAGAGTCCTGAGAAAGACCAGAGAGGCCTGAGAGCAAAAGAGACAGAGAGAAACCACACAGAGATCATAGAGAGAATAAAACAGTTCTAACACAGAATAACAGATAAAAATAACAAACACATAGAAGCCATTGGTGCATAGGGAGCAGGCTGACCACTGTCCAGATATGTCAATAAATCCTCATAAATCCCCGGATCACCACTGTGCTCGGGCCTTTCCGCATCAGCAAGAAACGTCAAATTCACGATACAAATGAACAGAATCTGAACAATGCGGCCTTAAATGAGCAGGCCTCAGTGCATCGCATGGCTGTCCACTCATCACCTTATTAAGACATCCAACCTCTGAGTGCCCCTACACGCATTGTCTAAACTCCACACGCCTCTGCCAAAGTATCCGAGGCACGCAGAGACGGTGGAGACACAGGATCGGACGGCGCGCCTGTGTGCAGCTATGCCTGACGTGGAACACCGGCTTGTGAATGACTACATTTATTTTTGATAGAGAGGAAACCCAAGAGGACCATCCATTGCAACCAAAGACCCCCTTTTAAGTCAGGCCAGTGCTGCAAACATATCCTGCTCCAGCCAGCGATCGAATATTGGGGTCCGGTCCAGAAAATGGATCAGACTAGAAGCCAGAGACACTGCTGCTTCGCTGGTCTCTGTTAGTGGTGGGCGAAATTATCGGTTCTGTTCAGTATTTTGCACACACAATTAAATCAATACAGAAGACCAAAGTATTGCGATACATAATGTTCGCCTGTTCAGAGAATAATGATATCTTGTCCTGAATGTTCAAGGATAAAGCTTTTAAACTTCCCTCATAAGTTTTTGCATATATATTACTGTGCAGACCTTAACAGATGTGATATTTGAGTGAGCGGCCTTCATTTCCTCCATTCTTTAAAGGCCTTTGAATAATATGAGGGACATTTATCGAAATATAACCACAGAATGGATTCCCAATACTTGCTGTATCACAATATGGTAAGAAATTGTCATAATATTGCAAACATACAATTGAATCCTCACATTTTTGCTACTTCCACCCCTGCTCTCTATAGGAGCTAACAAGCTGGAATACATGTGTCAGCTGGAATGACATGATCTACCAATGAAACAACAGCTTTTTTACTGAGCTCAACAAGAAATACCATTCATACATGCATTAAGAGAATGCTACAACCATATTATACAACCTCACGCACAAGAAAAAATATACAGATAGTGTTTCTGCAAGCATGAATTCAATGTCCTTCAATGGTTTTGTTTACCCATTACACCAAATAACACCTGTACAGTTATTAATCAGTTATACTGGTCTTTTGTTTCAGTGATTGGTCCATTGACAAAAATGTGGCACTGAACAAAAACAGGTAGAGATGGGCTTGTTTCCAGCTGGTTATAGAGACAAGGGACACAATTCCAAGACATACAGGTCTATATTTTCAACATATAAAGATGTAATTTATTAAAATAAGAGGTTATGTGTGTATAAAGCCAAATAATTGTGGTAATAAATGTGACATAGAGAGCAGCCCTGCATCAGACTGGAGTCCGCGCAGCCTCTGCATCAGACTGCGCCATTCCAAAACAAACCACACTGCGATGGCTTAAAGGTTATGCAGACATCTCAGACAGTGACGTGTGATTATCGCAGACGATGATCCCACCACAAACACAATGACAAACACCACTACTGCTGATGCCTAGTGCTGCTGATGCCACAGAACCCCCGCAGACCTCTGCAGACAGCAGGAGGCCAGTCTTTACCTTTGTACAGCGGGGTGAACTTCCTCATCTCCGGGGGCAGGCTCTTGTAGAACTGGTGCTCTCGGGGGATCAGGGGCTTGCAGATGGTCTGCTCCCCGAACCTGAGCACGCAGGAGTGCCCCCCCACCTGGTGCACAAAGGGCTCAAGCATCACCCCTTTCCCGGGGTAAGAAGATCCTTCCGCCTGCATCAGCACTTCCAGAGCGGGACTCATCGTCTCCCCGCATCGGACAGCTGAGCTCCGGGGTCCCACGTCTAACGGGAGGCAGCAGGTTCGGCCTCTGTGGCTCCCTATCCTCTTGTACGCGGCAGGGGGCGCTATTGTTCCCTCTTCTGTGAAAAACAAAGGCCGCAGTGAAGCGAGCGACGGCTGTAGATCCTGGCGTTAAAACAAACGTACTGAACACAGATCTCTGTGTCCGAGTGCCGTAAAGAGTGCTTATACACGGACAAAAACACTGTGACTATTCTGCTGTTAAAGCTACAGACGCGGCTCCAGCCGCAGGAGGCTCAGGAGGACTGTCTCCTGTGTCCGCTGTTACCGAATCTGCGGCTGAGCTGCGCTGAGAACAGAACAACACCCGCTCTACGCCCACCCTCAACACCTCAGCCAATCACAGAGCAGCCTGTGGTCAGCCTCAGAGGATCTCAGCCAATCACAGAGAAGCCTCTGTCTCCAGGCTCAGAGGATCTCAGCCAATCACAGAGCAGCATCTGTCTCCAGGCTCAGAGGAGGTGCAGCAAACAAAGAGAGGGGGGGGGGGGGGGGGGGTGAGGGGGATGAGAGGGGAGGGGGATGGGAGGATCACGGATCAAAACAAAACACATTCTAATGTTCAGGTGTGTTTACGGAGCGACATTCTCACACGTGCCACAGATCTCAGCCAAACATCCTCTCACAGGTTCTGAGGGTTCTCTAAAAGATTCAGGAGTCCATAATAATGTTTGTGATACAAGTGTGTAATACTAGTGTATAATACTAGTGTGTAATATTAGTGTATGATACTAGTGTATGATACCAGAGTTTGATAACAGTGTGTTATACTAGTGTATGGTACTAGTTATAGTGTATAATACTAGTGTAACACTAGTGTGTAATACTCGTGAGTTATTACTTACAATAGGACAGTGTTGTGGAGGAACGTGACTCTCTCTTGGACAAATGTCAGAGGAAACACAAGTGTTTATGAACCAGAGCTGAAATCTGCTTATGTGCTTATGGTGCGTATACTTCACATTCCTCTGGCGTTTCCTGCAGTCGTCTCGTGCCAAAACCTCTATTACAACATTTACACATGGTCCTGCTCAGCTTTCAGTTTATAATATATACATTTTATATTCACCTCAACAACCGTAAATATCAATTTTGTTGACTTCTGCTCTTGGTAACCCCTCACAGGTTCTAACGTCCCTCTCTCTGTTTTGTTTTGTGTATTTCCTGCAGTGTAAACAGAAGCAGGCCAGTGGGCTCTCTCTGCAGGTCAGTGATGCTCCAGTCTAATCTGAGACCAGCTTAATCTCTGATGTTCCAGTTCTACCTCAGGATTAAAGTGAAGGAGACGTAACACACAGATTACCTGCGCTCGCCCTAGTCTCCTGACGCTATAATTAGCAGCTGATAGAACACAACTGGTAAACACGTCCAATGAACCTTGTTTATCCACACTGAGGATCCACACTGACTTGATAATATAATCCTGAATACCAATTGGTTATATTTTAATAAGTATTATATTAGTAATAGGTATTATTGGTGATTTGAATACTGTAAAGGAGTTAGTAACCATCACAGCCTGTATATCGACAATGCTAACCACTGACTCAATAACGCCCAATAGCTAAGTGCATATGGACAAAGTTTTGCTCCAACTCGCTCTGGCTCCTATTGACTTGCATATAAAAGTAATCTCCTATAGCTCAGTACCCGTTTTTTGTCACACTCACCATTTTGGGTTTAAAAAAATCAGTTGCTTTGCTCTCTGTGATCCTGGTGTTTACAACGTGATATTGTCTTTGTAAATCCAGATATTATCCACATTAGGATTGACCATTCATCATCTTCTTTATTTGAGGGGGAAACGCTTGTCTTAGTAACCGCCTTAGCAACACATCTGCCCATGTTATGGCGCAAAACTACCACCGTGGACCAAATGCCCATATAAGGAAATTGGCTCCAGCTAGCTTATATGTAAATTGGCGTCGTCCCCATTAAGGCTCACACAATGGTCACTTCAGTCCACTCCTATAACTCACGCTCTATGGTTTTAGTGCAGTTTATGTACAGGTGAGCTCAACAATCCGACAAGTATCCCAAAATTCTCACGGATTATTTCTTTGCCGTACAGAGATCTGATCCTTGGAGGGACACTGCTGTATCTGGGTAAGCTGTTAGCCTCTAATGTTAACACTTTTGTATGAACCCTAACCCTTTGCTAACCACAGGTGAAATAAGGAGCCGACCAACCTTTTGTGCGACTACTTTAAGCTGAATTCTGTCATTTTTGATGCATTGACTATGACAAAAGCTTTCAAGATAAGATAAGAGAAGCGTTATTCTATACTGTATGTAGCTGTGAACGCTTCTTAGTTACAATGTATTCATTATTATATTTTTTGTGTGTCGCATACAAGTAAGTAAGTAAGTAATGTTTATTTATATAGCGCATTTTACAGACCAAGGTCACCCAAAGTGCTTTACAATGTTCAGATATTGTTCCAATCATTCCCCACACGGTGATGACAGAAGCGAGTCGCCGAACACACTGGACCATCAGCTCCAATCAACACCATCCATTCACTCTCTCATTTACATTCAAACCTATTGTGCATGTTTTTAGTGGTAGGGGAAAACGGAGAACCCGGAGGAAACCTACGCAGACACGGGGAGAACATGCAAACTCCACTCAGAAAGGCCCTGTTCCAACTGGGATTTGAACCCAGGACCAAGTGCTAACCACTCAGCCACCGTGCCACCCCACAAGCTGTGGTAGTGTCATGTACTTTATTACTGTGTGTTCTGTGTTATGTGGAATTCTACTGCATGATATTGTTAGAGTAGGGTATTGTATATTTATAGTGTGTGATGAGGATTTAAGTCAAATAAGTAAGCAGTTGTTTTGTCCAACCCCTTTTCAAAACCATATACTTATTTATTACTTTGTTGTTTGTCTGTTATATTGACTGCACTTTTAATCCACAAAGCAGCAGTTGTGATGAGTTTTTGTTTCCCATTCTTCTCCTTGAACAGGAAACTCCCGCAGTCACACCTCAGACTTCGGACCAGAATAGAAAGTGAAAGAGCACGTGGGTTACATTCAATCTAACTCCAGCTCCACCAGTTTTGGAGTTTGCATATTCTCCCCGTGTCTGTGTGTGTCTGTATGTTTCCTCTGGGTGCTCCAGTTTCCCCTACCACTAAAAACATTTACAAAAGTTCAGGAAGAATGAGTGTATGTTTGTGAGTGTGGGATAACGGATGCAAATTACTGTATAATTGTAAGGCTGTGTGTTCATTAACATGCACTGTCCCAACCAAATAAAGAATAAATATATAAATAAGTAACAATTGTGTCACAAACGTCCATATATGGCACTAACACGTGATGTGAATCAATATGGACATAATATACCTGATTTTTAAGTCAAAACAGCTCAACAATCCATCTCTGGACCATGGATCTATTACAATAACTGGATAGGGTATTACTAGCTTGTAGCTGAATAACTCATGTGCTCAGAGGATTCTCGAGGTACTGCAGACTGAACCAGACTAAATTCACGTGGGCTACCCAGAAATTTTCCCCATAGGATTCAATGCATATTAAAACAGCTCAACCTCAGCTGACAGAGAACCTACAGCTTTAATAAAGGTCGGATTTTGTGGGGATTTTAGTGTCCCTTGTCATCCTGAACTTTTTTTCCTCTTAAATCCTTCGGTTTTGTTTAAATCCACATTTTAGTGCCACAAACTCTGCTCGTCTGGCTCTGGCTCTAACTCCCGCTCTGATGAACTGCTCTGATTGGTCAGAGCGCGGCCGAGCCCCTCTGTGCACGTGCGTGAGACCCGGTGTGAGACCCACACACGCGTGTTTAGCGCAACGCATTATGGGAGATCATCCACTGCGCAGAACCGGGAGGACCAGACGACGCCCAAATACAGGCGAGTTTCCCATAGATCTTTGCGAGTTTCAGGCAACTTCCGCTAATCTTTCAGCCCCCATGCCGTCACAAAGCGCCACTGAGCACAACCATTCATTTGAATAGGGCGCCATCTTGGATCGCCGGGGCTTGGTCTGGACATGTCTGGTAAGGTTTTACTAAAGCGGACAAAATAAGTTTGAACACCCCTGCTCCACACCCTGAGTAATATTACCATTAAGGTAACAGTACAACCTTCAGGGAGGTAGTGGTATCCAAGCTCATCAACAAGTACAAACATACAAACCGAAAGTAAATATTCAGACTAAACAAGAATAAGCAACCTATATTTACTGGTTCTAAATTATGAAAAAATATATATACTCAGGAAACATAAATGGTCGAGTTAAAAGCATGAACCATACATTAGGACACTTTAGATATAAGCTAACCGGAGTGAATTTCCTTATTTGGGAAATTGTTTTGACAGTGTTAGCGGCAGGCGTGTTGCTCAGACGGTTGCTAAGGTAAATCGGAGTTTCCCCGTGAATGAAGGCAACAATCAAAACACCAGGATCTCAGAGAGTGCTGAATATGTGTGGCGCAAACGGTGACTGAGCAAGAGGAGTTTACTGTTACATGTAAGTCAATAAGAGCCGGAGCGAGTTGGAGCACTTCCTTATTGGGTTTCATTAAAATGCAGGTTAGCATCGTCCATTTTTATACAGCCCATGGTAAAAGATTAAGGTACAGTACACTTTGTTGATCTCTGTAGAGGGAAACTTTGACACTACTTCGATGTAGTTTTGATACTAGTTTTACATCTGATTTTCAACACTTGTCATTCATACAAACCTGTGTGTTTTAACAGTAGCAGGTGTGAAAGTAACTGACTTCTGAGATAACAACACATCACCTTTAATGCCATATAATCCTCATATTCCCAGCAGAGTCATCATTCCCTGCAGTGACGAGTCCACATTACTGTACTCCGGCGCTCATGTCACGGCTCCCTGCTTTAGGACAATGGGACCAGGCCAAGTCCACTGATGCAACCTCCAACAAGCCCCTGATTCACTGTGGGGAGAGCCCCTTCCACAGCCGGGCAGAGCACAGCCGGGCAGAGCACAGCCGGGCAGCGAGCCTGGAGTGACGCTGCAGAAGTCACCAGAAACACAAACACCAGGATTACAGGCTCTGGCTGCGGACAATGGGACTAACCAGGAGTGTGGGAACCGTTTGACCTTGAATGTAAACTGGGATTGGAGTAGAGTGAGTGTCGTGGAAGTGTGTTTGAGGAAAGTGCTGCTAATGCTAATAATGTGCTAATAATGTGCTGATAATTTACTGATAATGTGGTATTAATGACATAATAATCACATAAAAGCAATTGTTAAGGAGAAACTTTTTATGCTTTTAACAGTAACAAGTAAGTGTAACTGAACCAGGATCTGAACTAGATCTGAACCAGGTCTGAGCCAGGACTGAAGCAGGTCTGATCCATGTCTGAACCAAGCCAGGACTGAAGCAGGTCTGATCCAGGTCTGAACCAAGCCAGGACTGCAGCAGGTCTGATCCAGGTCTGAACAAGGTCTGAGCCAGGACTGAAGCAGGTCTGAAGCAGGTCTGAACCAAGCCAGGACTGAACCAAGCCAGGACTGAAGCAGGTCTGATCCAGGTCTGAACAAGGTCTGAGCCAGGACTGAAGCAGGTCTGAAGCAGGTCTGAACCAAGCCAGGACTGAACCAAGCCAGGACTGAAGCAGGTCTGATCCAGGTCTGAGCCAGGACTGAAGCAGGTCTGATCCAGGTCTGAACAAGGTCTGAGCCAGGACTGAAGCGGGTCTGATCCAGGTCTGAACCAGGTCTGAGCCAGAACTGAAGCAGGTCTGAAGCAGGTCTGATCCAGGTCTGAACCAAGCCAGGACTGAAGTAGGTCTGATCCAGGACTGTATTAGGATTGAATCAGGTCTGAAACTAGGACTGAACCAGGATTGTATGAGGACTGAAGTAGGTCTGAACCAGGTCTGTATCCAGTCTGAACCAGGACTGATGTGAAAGGCAGTGAGGGCGAAGTGTCTTGCCTAAGGACATACAGTAACTAAAGTTTGGCACTTTACAGCTGCAGCCGCCCTATTGTGGCACCTGGCATTCCCAAAGGTCTCCCATCACAGTACATACCAGGCCCTGCCCTGCTTAGATTCAGTTTGACGGAACCATTTTTTTGACATGCAGGTGGCGCCGCAAACAAAATAGAATAGATTCGGCATAAAAGGGTAAACACTAACATTCCCATTAAGTCAATACTGAGTTGTACTTGAACTTTAAACCACTTTGGCCCCATGTCCCGGGGTCCGTTAAGATATTGCAGGTCACCGTTGGCAACTGCGCTGTTTCATGGAGTTAAATGCATGATTTTACAGCGTGCTTCTCATGCACTGCGTGTTTACTCCAACAACAACATCTACAACATTATATAACTCTAACCCCAGTGTAACTCGACACATACCTTCATTTAAAGTCAGACGAAAACCTTTGTGGTTTTTGTGTATACATACAATAATGTTGCATAAGTCCTATTTTCATCTGCTACTCGACTCTACTCTACTCTACTCTACTCTACTCTACTCTACTCTACTCTACTCTCCTTTACTCGGTTGCGTTTCCATTACTAGTTTTCGAATACATTCAATCCTGATTTTCAACTCTTTTGTCATTCTTTCTAACCTGTGTGTTTTAACAGTAGCAGATGTGAAAGAGACTTTTGAGATAACAGCACATCACCTTTAAAGCCTCATAATCCTCATATTCCCAGCAATGTCATCATTCCCTGCAGTGACGAGTCCACATTACTCTACTCTACTCTTTTCTACTCTACTCTACTTGGTTGCGATTCCATTACGCTTTATCAATTCAGCCGAGAGTAGATTAGGGAAGAGGAGACAACACACTCAAAATAAATGTCCATCCATCCATTTTCTACCCTTTAATCCATTTCTGGGTCAGGGAGGTGGCAATCAGAGATGCCACCCAAGTCTCATAGCACCAGCCCCTCACTGACCCTCTGCAGGTGATGAGTCCACAGGAGGACGGCTGCTCTCTGAGTGTGAGCATAGCCTTGATCTTTCAGAGGGGGCTTTGGGCAAAGTGGAGTTAAGTGTCTTGCCCAAGGACACAACGACAGCAGTGGGAGTCGATGGAGAAGGTGCAGAGGTGGGAATTGAACCCACGACCTTCTGGCCTTAAGGCCAATGCTCTACCAACTGAGCTACTGTCGGGGAGTATGTCCATCTATGAAATGTACTATGGGTTTATGAGCAGCACGGTGTCTGAGTGGTTGGCACTCTCGCTTCTCGGCAAGAAGATCCTGGGTTGGAATTCCGGTTGGAACAGGGCCTTTCTGAGTGGAGTTTGCATGTTCCGTGTCTGCATAGGTTTCCTCTGGGTGCTCCGGTTTCCCCTACCACTTAAAACATGTACAATAGGTCTGGCATGTGCGTCTTGTTCTGACGACTTTGCTCCCATCTCTGTGTGGAGTGAGAAACAAATGCCCACAACAATTGTAAAGCGCTTTGTGACTCTGGTCTGTGAAAGGCGAAGATTACTTACTTACTGTCCGACATAGTGCCTGCTTCTGCTTCAGCTTCAGCTTCAGCCATTGTGGTCTCTGTATAAAAACAAAACGTGATTTCTGTAATGTCGTCTTGACATAAATGAAACGCCACCACAAGTACCGAACAAGAGCTGGTGGTTTATTGTACAAGCTCGTATATGAGAACAGTCCACAAGATCCCGCAGTACATCTCGCGTTAGTATATGGTGCCTTCACAGACCACATAGTGTGGGAAATAACAACACCATTCATTACATCTCCCCCTCTTTTGAGAAAGTAATGGCCATATTACTAACAGTCTTTCCACCCAGTCTCTGTAAACGCATAACTCCAGTGCAAACAACAGTTATGAAAATTATACACCATAATGCTTTAACATGTTAATATTCATGACTCAAAGAGCATTGTTTAGTTTGCTTTTCTTACTTTTTTTTTTTTTTTTTTTTACAACAAACATCTATTTCCTTTCTCTTTTCTTTTCATTTATCTGAACATAACATGAACATTTCTTCCAAAATGCCTATAAGTCTAACTTAGGCGACGACTTACTCACTCGGCCTGAACGAGTGATTGTAACCGTCCCTGTCTTTGGTGGTAATGACTCGACACTCTTACTGCCGACATCGCTGCTCACGGGCAGAGGATCATCCGGTGACCCGCTGGGGTTTGGATTCTTGGAAGCAGCGGGCAGTCGCAATAGGTGACGGCGGTTACGTCTGTAACAACCTCCCTCCGGCGTTACCACAACGTATGACCTAGGGGTAGAACAGTTACCTTGTACCGTTCCTTGTGTAGTCCATTGTTTCTCATTGTCCAACTTCATCAGGACCCCTTCTCCAGGGTCCAGTGGTGTGGTAAGTGTCGAACACCATTCCTGCGGTTGTAGTAGAATGCTTGTTTCAGCTTAGCCGCAGCATCCGCAGAGCGCATCTCCTTCCTATCTGGCCAGCTCGGATCCAGGTTAGCAGACAGGGTGGGCAGCGTGGTTCTGATCTTGCGGCCCATCAGCAGCTCTGCTGGGCTGAAGCCTGTAGAAGTGGTAGGAGTGCTCCTATAAACCAGAAGAGCCAGGAGGGGGTTTTCCTGCTTAAGGATCCCTTTTGCTATCTGCACTGCCCTTTCTGCATGTCCGTTACTTTGAGCGTAATGCGGACTGGAGGTGGTGTGGACGAAATCAAACTCTCTGCTAAACCTTCTGAACTCTTCTGAAGAAAACTGAGGCCCATTATCACTAATAAGCTCCTCTGGAACCCCAAATCTAGCAAAAGTGGCCGCTAGCTTGCCTATAACCTGTGTGGTTGTGGCTGTTGGTAAGTTCAGAATCTCAAGGTAACGAGAGTTAATAATCAGAAGCTACCAAGTAGGTTTGCTTGTTGTACTCGCATAAGTCTACACCCACTTTTTGCCATGGTCTATCTGGCAGCACTGTAGACATGAGTGGCTCTTTAATCTGAGTGTGTCTGTTAGTATTACAAAAATCACACTGCGCAACTTTGGCATTTATGTCTTTTGACATCCCTGGCCACCACACTGACTGTTTGGCTCGCTCTCTGCACTTCCCTAAGCCTTGGTGACCATCATGAATTCTCTCTATCATCTCAGATCTCAAGGTGGTGGGAATGACTATACGGCTTCCCCTTACAACCAACCCGTCTACAACTGACAGTTCACCCCGCACTTTGTAAAACCCTCTAACACCCTCCGGGACCCGTCTTTCATACTCTGACCAACCCGTCTGAGTGAGCTGTTTCACTAACTGTAACTCGGGGTCTTGGATAGTGTGGTCTCTTATCTGCTGTAGTTTCCGGGGGGTGGCTGGTAAGTGGCTGAGGACTGCTCCGATGTGCACGGTCACGTCCTCTTCAAGGTGCTCGTCTCCGGTCTGTTCCAGTGGACCCCTGGACAGCGCGTCTGCCACTGCCAAGGTCTTGCCAGGTGCGTACACTGCTTCTGCATTAAAACGCATCAGTCTCATCAGTAGTCTCTGACACCTTAGTGGGACATTGTCCAAGTCCTTGTTGTTCATTAAAGGCACTAAGGGCTTGTGGTCAGTGATCAATGTGAAAGTCTCTAGTCCAATCAGGTATTTCTCAAAGCGCTCACAGGCCCAGACGCTCGCCAGGCATTCCTTCTCTATTTGCGCGTACCTGGTTTCCGGATCACGAAGTCTCCTGGAGCAATATGCGACCGGCTTCCAATCTTCTCCATGTTGCTGTAGGAGAACTCCCCCAAGCCCATAGCTGCTGGCGTCAGCCGACACCTTTGTGGGCTTGTTGGCATCATAGAAGGTAAGTACAGGTGCAGATGCCAGGGCAGATTTCAATCTTCGGAAGGAGGACTCCTGCGCTGGACCCCACTGCCACTCAGATTTGGTTTTGAGCAGTTCATAAAGTGGTTGTCCAACTGTAGACATCTCCGGAACAAACTTGGCTAGGTAATTTACCATACCAATAAAGCGTCTCAGTTCAACGACATTCTGGGGTTTCGGGAAATGTTCTATCCCCTCTACTTTTGCTGGGTCTGGTTTCACCCCATTCTCATCAATGATGTGCCCCAGAAACCTGATTTGTCTCTGTTTGAATTTACACTTGCCTTCGTTCAGTTTCAGACCAGCTGCCTCAATCACTTTCAGGACCTGCTCCAAACGCTTGTCGTGTTCCTCTTCAGTGTCTCCATGGACCAAGATGTCGTCCATATACACCTCTGTACCTTCCAGCCCCTGCAGTGTCTCTGCCATCTTGCGCTGAAATATCTCCGGGGCGCTCGATATCCCAAATGGCAGTCTGCAAAACGCATATCTCCCAAAGGGAGTAATGAAGGTGGTGAGTTTACGACTGTCTTTATGTAGTGGGATTTGGTAGAACCCACTAGCAGCATCCAGGGACGTGAACACTTTGGATCCTGAGAGTCTTGGCATTATCTCCTCCACTGTAGGTAACACATATTTCTCTCGTGCTACTGCTTTGTTCAGTTTTCTTAAGTCAGCACAGCATCTTACCTCAACTTTATTGGGTTTTAGTACTGGCACCATTGCAGCGCACCATTCAGTGGGCTCGGTTACTTTCTCAACGATGCCCTCTGTCTCTAGCCTTTGTAGCTCCTTTTTAACAAGTGGCATTAGTGGTAGCGGGACTCGTCTAGCCACATGGACCGCATATGGCTGTGCATTGTCTTTAAGCAGTATTTTCGCAGGTTCAGTCTTCAACAAGCCGCTGGTTCCGAACACAGCGCTGACCTCCTCTACTCTCTTAACTAGACCCATCTTTACCGCTTCTATGCGGCTGAGCAGGCAGCTGTTTCCTTTTATCACATATACTGGAAATGTGTAGCTTTCTCCTTTGTATTCTGTGTTAGCTTCAAACATCCCAAAACACTTGAGTGGACCTCCAGGCCCCGAGAAGGGTGTACTAGTAGGGGTCAGTCTGTATTTCTTTGTGAGTAGACTGAATGTTTTGTCTCCGATGATACTTGCATCTGCCCCTGTGTCTATTTTGAATGCCAGGGGAACTTGGGCAATATCTAATGTGACAGTCCATTTATCTGGGTTTGCTGGGCCAGTAACTTCACCTAAGAACTCGTACTGGGTGGTTTCCTTTAGTTCATTGACAACTTTCGTACGGCATACACGAGCCCAATGCCCCTTTTTGTTGCACTTTTTGAAAAAACTTTTAGCAGCTGGGCATTTTCTTTTATCATAGTGCTGTGTGCCGCACCTACCGCAGTCTGGGGACTCTCTTTCAGTGTGTGGGGTGTGCTTTTTGTGTAGTACTTTGCGACGTCCTCCTGCAGAAACGCTTGCCACTTGCATCTCCGGCTGGGGACCGCTAGCTTGGAGGCTAATCTGTTTAGCAACCTCTTCTGACTGTCGTACTTGCTGTATAACATGAGCCAGCGTCAGATCTGCTGTGAGCTGCAATTTCAGAGACAATTCTTTGTCTTTAATGCCCACTACGAGTCTATCACGGATGTGTTCATCCCGCTTATCGCTAAAATCACAGTTCTCCGCTAGCTCGTACAGCACCCTTATGTACGCCTCTGCCTTTTCCCCTTGCAGTTGGTTACGTTGGTAGAAACACGCTCTCTCGTGTATTACGTTGCGTCTGGGTATGAAGTACTCATCCAACTTTGAGAGAACCCCTTCGTAATTCTTCTTATCGTCTTCCGTAGCAAACTCGAACGAGGCGAAGATTTTCTCTGCTTCGCTGCCCATCGCGTAGATAAGTGAGCAGACTTGAACCTCGCCATTTTCTTTGTTCAGTTTTGTGGCCAGCCTGTAGCGTGCGAACCTCTGTTTCCACTCCGGCCATTCTCCCGGGCTCGTGAAGTTAAACTCCGACGGAGGATTAAACTTGGACATATCGGCTCGTTAAAGTATTGCACCGCTTCTGACACCATGTAATGTCGTCTTGACATAAATGAAACGCCACCACAAGTACCGAACAAGAGCTGGTGGTTTATTGTACAAGCTCGTATATGAGAACAGTCCACAAGATCCCGCAGTACATCTCGCGTTAGTATATGGTGCCTTCACAGACCACATAGTGTGGGAAATAACAACACCATTCATTACAATTTCATTTTGGGTTAAAATGCAATGTAATGCATATGACTGACTTTTGTACCAAGTAAAATATTGCTGAGTTTGTTTTGGGATGCCTTACATTACTACTTAACAGCAAAAAGCAATACATTAGAGTAAATACATTATTACATTACTTTTGTAAATTTACTCCCAACACTGGAAGTTGTATGGAAAGCCATTTATAAACACAGATTGGTTGATTTTTTGACACAGAGATATAATTAAATTTACACGTATTACAAACACTGACTAATCCCTTTGATCTTATTTATCTTTCAGGGATGGGTCGAGACATGCGTGGATACGTCGGGGAGTCTCTGCTCCTCTGTTCCGAGCCAAACACTCTGGGACTGAAACCAGATCCTGTTCCACCTCTGTGCACTTCGTGGGAATTTAATCTTCCATCTTTAATCCCACCTCAATAAATGATTATGCCCCATGTTAGAGGACGTAGCTCTTTGGTGAATGTGTCCGTGGCAAAGATGTACAGTATATATATTTATGATGATTTATCCTTTGTATTACTTTCTGTCACGTATCGTCCTTAAAACAGACAAGGCCAGTAAACAAGGTCAAAAGTCTGAGCTGTTTGAGATGTTTTGACCCACTTTTCCTGTTGCTCACCTACACAGTGAAACCAGACCCAATACACAACCCGTAAATGCTCCTTAGAGAGATATCTTAGATTCATAGAGGAGGATATAGTATACAGAGCCCAAAAAGAAGTATCTAAAACATTTGATTTGACAAAACTGATTTCAGGAACGACCCGGAGTTAGATGATTTTGAATGCAAAGCTATTTCTTATGGTTTGAAAGTTGGTACCCTAGCTTTAATTCAATTGTTACAGCAACATAAAAAGTTTATGAATAAACAACACAAAGGGAACACAGCTTTTGACCATGCAATAGTTTAAAATTCATAAATATGAGCCACATGTTATAATTAATGGCCATGGTCTTTCTCTCTGATCTCTTTCTGTTCACTGGTCTCTCTCTCTCTCTCTCTATGGTCTCTCTCTCTCTGGTTTCTCTCTGGTCTCTTTCTCTCTCTCTCTCTCTGGTCTCTCTCTGGTTTCTCTCTCTCTGGTCTCTCTCTGGTTTCTCTCTGGTCTCTCTCTGGTTTCTCTCTGGTCTCTCTCTGGTTTCTCTCTGGTCTCTCTGGTCTCTCTCTGGTTTCTCTCTGGTCTGTCTGGTCTCTCTCTGGTCTCTTTCTCTCTCTCTCTCTCTCTCTCTCTGGTTTCTCTCTCTCTGGTCTCTCTCTGGTTTCTCTCTGGTCTCTCTCACTCTGGTCTCTCTCTGGTCTCTTTCTCTCTCTCTGGTTTCTCTCTGGTTTCTCTCTGGTCTCTCTCTCTCTCTGGTTTCTCTCTCGCCTCTCTCTGATCTCTCTCTCTCTCTCTCTTCCTGGTTTGTCTCTGGTCTCTCTCTCTCTGTCTCTCTCTCTGATCTCTCTCTCTCTCTCTCTTCCTGGTTTGTCTCTGATCTCGCTCTCTCTCTCTCGCTCTGGTCTCTCTCTCTCTCTGGTTTCTCTCTAGCCTCTCTCTGATCTCTCTCTGGTTTCTCTCTGGTCTCTCTCTGGTTTCTCTCTGGTCTCTCTCTGGTTTGTCTCTGGTCTCTCTCTGGTTTCTCTCTGGTCTCTCTCTGGTCTCTCTCTCTCTCTGGTCTCTCTCTCTGGTCTCTTTCTCTCTCTCTCTGGTTTCTCTCTGGTCTCTTTCACTCTCTCTCTCTGGTTTCTCTCTGGTTTCTCTCTGGTCTCTCTCTGGTTTCTCTTTGGTCTCTCTGGTCTCTCTCTGGTTTCTCTTTGGTCTCTCTGGTCTCTCTCTCTCTCTCTCTCTCTCTCTGGTTTCTCTCTAGCCTCTCTCTGATCTCTCTCTCTCTCTCTCTTCCTGGTTTCTCTCTGGTCTCTCTCTCTCTCGCTCTGGTTTCTCTCTAGCCTCTCTCTGATCTCTCTCTCTCTCTCTCTTCCTGGTTTCTCTCTGGTCTCTCTCTCTCTCGCTCTGGTTTCTCTCTAGCCTCTCTCTGATCTCTCTCTCTCTCTCTCTTCCTGGTTTGTCTCTGGTCTCTCTCTCTCTGTCTCTCTCTCTGGTTTCTCTCTAGCCTCTCTCTGATCTCGCTCTCTCTCTCTCTTCCTGGTTTCTCTCTGGTCTCTCTCTCTGGTTTCTCTCTAGCCTCTCTCTGATCTCGCTCTCTCTTTCTGGTTTCTCTCTGATCTCTCTCTGGTCTCTCTCTGGTCTCATAAAATGATCAAATTATCAGATACAACGTGTTAATATTTACACTTATAGCGATGACCGTAAGTCAGTAAACAAGGTCAGACGGAACAGTTGGCACCGGCGGCTCCCTGGTATTTACTACTATCTCTTCAGAACCAGCGGGAGTGTCCGTGTGAGGGAAGTTTGGGTCAGGTCCAACCCGAGTTCCAAGCTCCTCACGTGGAGATAAATGAGGACTGAGACCTGACAGAAGTGGGACGGGAAGTTGACAAAATATTGGCTCAGAGTGTAAATCTCCCCTCGGCCTTTTTAGAGTCTCTTTAGCAGCGCAAAAACATGTGGAGAAAAGATGGTGACGTCGTCTTGACAAGAGAAGAGAGGAAAACAGGATAGGTGCAAGAATCTAAGGCCTTGTTCAGAGACGCTTTCAGTCGTATAACAAAACCAAAAACCCTCCCACTGTTCACTTCTCTCTCTGATTCTTCACAGTGCAACATCGCTGCACCATAAATCATACAGAATGTTGTCATTGAGAAAACAGACGTTGGGCTTCATTGAGCTCGCGGGTTAGGGTTGTGAATCTATATATAGTCTATGGCAGGGGTGGTCTATGCAAAAACACAAAACAGGGCGAAATGAACTAATGCATTTTGGCAGGTATGAACTTAGTTAGACCTGTTGTGTAGAGCTGCAACTAACAATTATTTTGTAATCGATTAATCTATCGATTACAGAAAGTTTAAATGTGAGGAGAACCCCCAGAAGACCCAGGACACTGTCTCTCAGCTCTGAGACCTTCACAACGGATACAGTGGTAGAAAAAGGATAGATGGATACATCGTTATCACAGTCCTTGACACCACCGGTCTCTCTCTTGTCTCACTCTCTCTCTCTAAGTTCAAGTGGTAAAAAAAAAGTGTATAAAGTGTGTGTGAGGGGTTTTCAGAGATGCCACCCAAGTCTCATAGCACCAGCCCCTCACTGACCCTCTGCAGGTGGTGAGTCCACAGGAGGACGGCTGCTCTGAGTGTGAGCATAGCCTTGATCTTTCAGAGGGGCAAAGTGGGGTTAAGTGTCTTGCCCAAGGACAAAACGACAGCAGTCATCAGTGGGAGTCAATGGAGAAGGTGCAGAGGTGGGAATTGAACCCATGACCTTCTGGTCTTAAGGCCAATGCTATACCAACTGAGCTACTGCCAGGGAGTATAAACACAGATTGGTTGATTTTTTGACACAGAGATATAATTAAATTCTACACGTATTACAAACACTGACTAATCCCTTTGATCTTATTTATCTTTCAGGGATGGGTCGAGACATGCGTGGATACGTCGGGGAGTCTCTGCTCCTCTGTTCCGAGCCAAACACTCTGGGACTGAAACCAGATCCTGTTCCACCTCTGTGCACTTCGTGGGAATTTAATCTTCCATCTTTAATCCCACCTCAATAAATGATTATGCCCCATGTTAGAGGACGTAGCTGTTTGGTGAATGTGTCCGTGGCAAAGATGTACAGTATATATATTTATGATGATTTATCCTTTGTATTACTTTCTGTCACGTATCGTCCTTAAAACAGACAAGGCCAGTAAACAAGGTCAAAAGTCTGAGCTGTTTGAGTTTTGACCCACTTTTCCTGTTGCTCACCTACACAGTGAAACCAGACCCAATACACGACCCGTAAATGCTCCTTAGAGAGATATCTTAGATTCATAGAGGAGGATATAGTATACAGAGCCCAAAAACAAGTATCTAAAACTTTTGATTTGACAAAACTGTTTTCAGGAACGACCCGGAGTTAGATGAATTTGAATGCAAAGCTATTTCTTATGGTTTGAAAGTTAGGTACCCTAGCTTTAATTCAATTGTTACAGCAACATAAAAAGTTTATGAATAAATAACACAAAGGGAACACAGCTTTTGACCATGCAATAGTTTAAAATTCATAAATATGAGCCACATGTTGTTATAATTAATGGCCAAGGCATTTACTGTATCCCCACTCACTCTGGTCTTTCTCTGTGATCTCTTTCTGTTCACTGGTCTCTCTCTCTCTCTCTCTATGGTCTCTCTCTCTCTGGTGTCTCTCTGGTTTCTCTCTGGTCTCTTTCTCTCTCTCTGGTCTCTCTCTGGTTTCTCTCTGGTCTCTCTCTGGTTTCTCTCTGGTCTGTCTGGTCTTTCTCTGGTCTCTCTCTCTGGTCTCTTTCTCTCTCTCTCTCTCTCTCTCGGTGGTCTCTCTCTCTCTCTCTTTCTGGTTTCTCTCTGGTCTCTCTCTCTCTCTCTCTCTGGTCTCTCTTTGGTTTTTCTCTGGTCTCTCTCTGGTTTCTCTCTGGTCTCTCTCTGGTTTCTCTCTGGTCTCTCTGGTCTCTCTCTGGTTTCTCTGGTCTCTCTCTGGTCTCTCTCTCTTTCTGGTTTCTCTCTGATCTCTCTCTGGTCTCTCTCTGGTCTCTCTGATCTCTCTGGTCTCTCTCTCTCTCTCACTCTCTGGTTTCTCTCTAGCCTCTCTCTGATCTCGCTCTCTCTCTCTCTTTCTGGTTTCTCTCTGATCTCTCTCTGATCTCTCT